TATCAAACAGAATCTTGAAGAAAAGATTATTCGGTTTTCATTTGTTAAATCAAAAGATCAATTGGCGGATAAACTCATAAAGGCAGTGTCTACAAGAAACTTCTACAACTCACTTGACAAGTTGGGCATAAGAGATATCTATGCACCAACTTGAGGGGAGTATTGGCGTGAGCTGTCTAATTAGATATTAGAGGAATTTGTTTTAATGTAAAATCCCATACTTTAAGGGTCATCCATGATCTTAGCCACAAATTGTTTATAGCCCAAAATAGTTTCCTAAAATCCCTCTCTTTGTATCTATATATGATTGTACTCAATTTTAAAGGACATATACAAAAAACTTCCCAGTTATCACAAACCTGTTGCTCTACCCTCACGATTCCCCCGAAGCCACCTTTCTCGAAGTTTTAATCCACCAAAACTAGTAGTAAATATTGGACATAATGGTTATAACACGTTAGTATTGTCACGTGGTATAACTGTTCCATGATAAACAAATAAATTAGTAAAATGTACTCCACTATTTTAGATAACCGTCACATATTCAAAAAATAGAGTTCGCTTGCCTATTTGTAACAATACTAAAGAGGAACTTCTTTCTCCTCAAAAAATTGGCAACTTCAATTTCCGGTAAAGAGGCACATACAGAAGGCCCGAGGGGATGAATCATGATACAAAATTTGAAGTTCTTCCAATTAATGGATGCAACAAAGCTACCATCGATTTCGATAGACTCTATTTATGGCTAAAAACCTCATTTTTTGCTACCCTTTCTTGTTCAGTTATGTTTGGTTTGGTTTGGTTTGATACGATAAAAAAATGAAATGATGGAAAGTTGGAGGGATAGATAAAATATTATATTTGATAAGGAAGGAAAATAGGAAGAATGAAAAAATTAATTTTGTGTGTTGAAATATATGTTATTTTGTCTATATATCATATTTATGACTTACTTATTATGTATATATTAATTTCATATATAGATATAGTGCTAAAATATATATTTATATTTTTTAATAATAAATAAAAAAATATTAAATAAAATTTTTTCCATCTTATCAAACCAAAAAAAATAATTTTTTTTACTTTCCATCCCTCTTACCAAACACAAATGAGAAAAGGAAGAATTCTTCCCTTAAAAGATGAAAAGTGTATCACTCATATTTTTTATTTTTCTATTTTTCATCCATCTTACCAAACATACCATTAGTCTTCTTAATTAATTCACAACCTTTCAAGCCTATCTCCTTCTGCCACGCATCAATTTTCATATTCTTGTTGGGCTTCCCGTGGGAAATGATGTGTTTATCAAAATAAAATTAAAAAATATCTATCAAATAAATATGAATAGTTGGATCAGCGTATTCTATAAAAAAAAAAATTAATAAGTCTCATCGATTCAACCATTCATCTTAATATAATATATTTTAATAAACTTATTTTTTTTTTTGCAAGGGTAATACAGTTCATTAGCTATTCAATCGGGCCAATATTATATAGTTAACAGAAAATATATTGAAATTTGACTCAAACTCTCTGATTATCAAGAAATAGAATTTGTTAGGTAATCAATTTACCAATTCTTGAATGGAATAAGCCTATCTCCTGCTCGTGTTGGCTTTCTCATTAAACTAGTGTGAAGAGAGGAAATCCCATATAAGTAGGCATTAATGAATTATTCTCTAACTAAGCAATTTTTTGACCAAAAGATATATGCGTGTACAACAATAAATAGAATATTGAATTATGCTCTATCGGATTTGTGTTGGGCTTAAGTAATGACGTCAAAATTTGGTTATTTCACACCTGACGTAATTGTGTATGTAACTGTGTTTAGTCAGATTTGTATTATGTCGCATTTAATTTATATATACATAATCTAAAACTCGTGTTATCTATAATCAAAATCCATGCCAATCTTTTTGTTGAATTTGAACAGGAGTGGCTGGTGAATCTGGTAATGACCTGAACTCATTAATCTAATCCCATAGTCCATAGATACATGTAACTTGTGTTATAGTTCACAATATCGATTATTAAGGATACAACTCGGCCTTGTCATATTCAAGACAACACTTTGTGTTTTTACGCCGGTGATACATGTTTTGGATAGAAGATAAATAAACCACTGGTTTCACTCGACCCAACGTTCATTCGGAAGTGTCATAGAAGACTTGATTGAGTCATTCAAGTCTTTGTCATTGAAGCACAATGTATCACACGAACCGTGATTAATGCATACCAGTGCCTTCTGAGTTTATTATCGATATTAAAATCATAAACTATACTCTATATCATTATCATATTTATGTTGGTTTGTGTTCTAGATAAAGATGTAGCACACAAGCGAGACAGCTCTGGGCCATACCAATATATAAACAGATGCACATGGTACGTTACCTCACTAACAGCTTCTTTAATGTTGGAAACTACAAAATTAATGTGGACAATTAGAATAACGGGTCATTTGAATATTCCACGTCATAAAGAGAAAGAATGAGTCCAAAATGAGCAATGTTATATGAACTTAAAAAGTAAACTTAAAAATTAGACTTATAATATCAATCATTGATTTCATTGTGGGTCCCAGTATTTATTAGGACTCACTACCTATTCAATGGTTGAGATTATTAAGTCTAATTTTTAAGTCTATCTAACATTATTCGTCCAAAATAGCATATGTTCTGTATGTGATATGAAGATGTGTCAGATTTGATACCTTCTCAACATTAATAATTGTTGATGTAAATTATTAAATTCTAACAATAATTATTATGAGCGATATATTTATTTTCATCGTCCACTTGATTTAAATGTAATAAAATCCATTGAAATATTTACGAACCTGCCATTGTTGCTTACAAAAAACCCCTAATTGTTTTTGATTGATTTACGGGTCGAACTCCAAGAAAGAATGCACCGAATTTAAAATTTAAAAGTCTAATGAGACTAGTCATTAATGTGATACAAATTGGACCAGTTTAGATCTATCCTAACTAGATAACTATGAATTACTCCAATGTTTTCAAGGAGGGATCATCAGGGGCTGCCCGAGCTCTTTTTGAAGGCTAAAGCCAGGATTCTAAAAGAGGCTTTTTTTTTATTCTTTATTATTAATATAAAATTTTTTATTCAATTTTTATTTGTTTTTTTTTCAAATTCATATTTAATCATAATAATAATAAATTTATTTATTATTTTTTTGGTGTATAATTTTAATATCTTCTAATTCTTTAAGATCTATCATTTGTTCATTTCAGAAGTTTCACCCAGGTCTTTTGTTATATTTTTTATTATTAATAATAAATTTATCAAGGGATTTTTTTTTACGATTCAATTAGTTTTTCTCCTTTTCTCTCTCTTTTTTAAGTTCCTCGTGTCTAAACTGTTATTTTTTAGTAGCCATAGATAATTGACAATCCAATTTTTTTTAATAAATCAATCAAGTTCTCTTTATAAGAAAAAAACTTAATAAAAATAAAAATTATAAAATAACAAAACTTAATTATATCACTAGCGTTCCTAAAACTTAGGATATTATAATGTGATTCTTCTTTAATATCACCTTTCAAAAAATAAAATAAAAAGAATAAGTGAATTGACACTATATTTTGTACAAAATAAAATTAAAAAAGAGAGAATGCGAGTATCAAATAATATACTGCGGTGAATTCGGTGACGTTACTTGTGTGATTTATAAAGGCGATCACAAGCTAAGTGGGAGAGAGAATCATTTATTTTATTTTTAGATGAAAAAAAAATCTGTGTGTGAGAGAGATTGATGAGTGAATGTTTAATTGATGTGATTGACTCTTTTAACCTGTTACAGAGAGTAATTAATGCTATGTCACAAGTGGCCCATTTTTGTTAAGAGAATAAGAATATTTTGTTAGTTTAAACTACATAAGATCTTTTTGTTTGCATTTAATTTATATGAGTTCAAATTTTTTGTTTGAATTATATTGAAGACTTATAAAGCGCCCGTTTATTCGACCTAGCAATTGGGCTGGCCCTGGGGATCATCTCTCCAATTCTGTGATCCTCCATTACTGCTCGGTGGTGACTTAAGGGTAATTTAAATAGTAACAGAGACAAACTTTAAACACAAATGTCCTGAATTTAAATATTGATAATTTTTTGAGATCATGTCATAAGAGATTTATTTTTTATAAATACCCTAATCACGATGTTGATGACCTAACTTTGGCCGGACCAAAAAGGAGATTAATCGAAATAAGTATAAATTTTTTCAAATATTATTGACCGTTAAATTAAAAAATGAAAAATAAAAAAGTAGTGGCCCAATGCTCAATGATTGATCTTTTGGTGTAGGGAAATATCTTGTCTCATCTTTTATCTACGGGAAAAAAAAATATACATCATGATTTGTACTGAAAGGTCACTTTTTTTTTTTTTGAAAAAATACTGAAAGTTCACTTGGAAATTGAGAAATTGGGTTATGACATTGTAAAACATAATTTTTTTTATTTGGACCATTCCATTGAATGAGTATGAGTGTCTGGTATCGTTCCATGCTTTGTCCAGTCACCAGTCTGAAGCAACTGATTAGCTGAGTCGTCACAGATACCTTTTAGTCAACGTAGAGTCTTCCAAGTCATTTTTATCTGATCGTCCGATACAGTTCAATAATGTTTTACCAGGTTTAATAGAAGCATCATTAATTTTTGAGAAGTTTTTAGCCCTTGGTAAGAGCACCTGCCCCTGTTTCCTTGATTTCATGTGTGTACAATCGAAGGAACTCGCCTTGTTCCTTCAGCAGCTTTAATAAAAACAGCTGAAGCCATTTTCATGGCACCTCTCACATGGACCCACGTTTTTAAATAGGATTCAAAGATTAACAATTCATTTCTTTGACTTCATACTCGTTTTGATTTGTCAGGACATGATAGTACATATGACTGAGCTCTCCAAAAGTTTTCCTTCAAAGCATTAGGTGAGCTAGCTGGTAAGAGAGAAGAAGAAAGAAACAGTCTCAGAAAATGGTGAGAACTCCTTCCTCTGATAAGAATGGATTGAAGAGAGGTTCATGGAGCGACGAAGAAGATAATAAGCTGAGAGCTTATATACAAAAATATGGCCATTGGAACTGGCGTCAACTCCCCAAGTTTGCAGGTATAAACTACTTTCCCCCTTTACCTTCCTCGTCAAGATCATCATCTTCTTCTTCTTCTTGTTCTTTCTTATTCTTCCTCGTTCACTCTGCAAAAACTGATGTGTTGAAGTTAAGAGTTGTGAGATTTAGTAGCATTCTTCAATTTTATGGAATCTAATTTGGTTATATATTTCTTAGGTCTTTCTCGATGTGGGAAGAGTTGTAGATTGCGATGGATGAATTACCTACGACCAGGTGTGAAGCGCGGGAACTACAGCAAAGAAGAAGAGCATATGATTATGAAATTACACGAGGAGCTGGAAACAAGTACGGATTAAAATATTTCTGGTTTCAACCTTAAATTTAAAAACAATACAAATATGTTGATCAACACAAGCTTCTTGTTATATACCATTTTTGCATCATTGTTTTACTTTTTAGCATTCAAATTCATCATTGATTGAACCTAGTACAACGATATTTTCCGTTTACAAAGTAGATAAGTATAATTTCGGAAAAAATAAGATACTCCAACAAAGATCAAAAACAAGTTAACTTACGCTGTTTCACTTATTACTGATGTAAGTTAACTTGTGTTGTTTCTTTTAATTACAGATGGTCAGCCATTGCTGCACATTTACCAGGAAGAACAGACAACGAAATAAAAAATTTCTGGCACACCCATATTAAGAAACGTGGGAAATCAAATCCAACAGCAGAGGTGACTGCTCAATCAGATTTATCCTTCAAACTCAACCAAATCAGAAAGAGCAATTTGAAGAAACTTCCAACAGTAAAGCCAACGAACAAAACATAGAACAGGCACATGAAAGTGATGTTTCTTCTGATACTACATCTCTCCATATTTCCTCAGGCTCTATGTCTACAAATTTAAGAAGCACCAACTGGGATGCAGAAGATGGCATGGCCATCAGTTCACTGGAATCGTTCGCTGGACCGCTTGGAAATTTCTGGAGTGAACCGTTTTTGGAAAACACATTCTACTACCAAAATTATTACTCATCACCTTCAACAGAGGGAGGGCTTATGTCTCCAAATTTGTTATACGATGATGATGCTATTAATTTGTTCCACCATTAAGTTTACTAATGCCCCTATATGATCTATTTATGTGTTGGATATATAAATATAGGTTGTACTTAACAGATTGTAAGAACATTATCCAGGAATTGTACAAGCCAGCTGCTCCGATTTGGTCTGCTAAGCTAAAATACAAGTGTCCAGACATTTACTCTTTTAGCAATGCTATAGGGACCTTATTTGAGGATCTAATTTAGGAACCTAATGATGTAATTTCAATGTAACCATTGAATTAGTTGTGAGTTTCAATGTTAAATGGAGTCCACCACCAATCCAATGGTTGTATTGAATTAGGTTTCTAGATTAGGTCCCCAAATTAGGTCCAAATAGTATTTTTCTTACTTTTTTGTATGTTGCCTTTTTAGTGTACCTTCTGTTTATACTAGTGTTTTAAAATCCGGCCCGGACCGATGAGTCAATCCAATGAACCGGTCTCCTAACCAGACCGGTTTTATTAAAAGACCGTTTATGTGAGGAACCCGGGATAAACCCGTTAAACCAGTAAAAAACCGGTGAACTTGTGAGAACCGGACGAGTTTAACAAACTGATCGATTTAATTTCATTACTATAAATCTGAGATTTTTTTTTCATTTGGGTATTTTGTGTATTTTTCTTGCCCTAAATCAGACCAGACGACACAATACAATCGACTGAGCAACGCCTCCATCTCTCTCTCTCTCTCGATCCCGGTCTCTCTCAATCCATCTAGTCGACTAGAGTTTCAGACTTCTTTGCCCTAAATCGAGCCATCCAGACCACCAGGCACCATCGGCTGAGCACAACTTCATGAGGCACCAGCGGCTGAGCAACGACTCCACTAGGCACCATCAACTGAGCACAGATCCACGAGGCACCAGCGACTGAGGAGCGACTCCAACTATAAACATAAATATATACACATAAATGTATCTGTAGTTTGTGTGGGTGAGAGTTCTGTGATATGGTGGTTCTCTATTTTCTTGACACATACTGTTCTTGGATTTTTTGCACCATATTGTACAACAATCAAAATGGGTTTGTTCAAATTGGCTCTGTTTGATTGGTGTCATTGAATAATTTGTACTTGTTTGGCACTGTTTGATCTGGCTCTATTTGTTACAATAATCAAAATGCGTTTTGATTCCTATTTTTAGAAATCTAATGTTGTTGTATTATCAGTTTGAATACATTGAAATTGTATACATGGTTGATCATTTTTCTCTACTTAACTTTATATGTTTGATGTTATGTTTATAATTATTGTGATTTTTTAGCCCATTTATTAATATTTATAATTATTTTTTAATTTTTTATTATATTACTGGTCCGACCAGTGACCCAACGGTTGAACCAGTGACCTATCGATCCGATTCCTTTGCCGGATTGATGTCTGGGCCGGGTTTTAAAACATTGATTTATACTTGCACTCCCGTGTGTTCTGACTTATGAGTGTTCTTGGATAGCAGTGTGTGCGGAGAAAAATGCCATTTTTTTTTGGGTATTTTTTTTTTCTATTTTCAATAGAAAACTCATCTTTTAATATAAAAATAATTTAAAATTTGAAACTATACCCACACAAGTAGAGAAAATGAGAAAGTTTTCTTTATATTAGCGACTTAATAAATAACACTTTTGGTACTTAAAGTAAATATTTTTTGTCAGATTAGTTTTTATTGTATCAATTTTGTTAATTTAGCCCCTGAAGTATTTAATTCTTGTCATTTTGATTCCTAATCAAACAATCTGTCAATTTTTTTAACGAAAGTGACAAATATGTGATCATTCCATCAAGAATTTAATTATCCGTCTATAAAAAGACCACAATGATATGAATTAAAAACTTTAAGAACTAAATTAATACAATGATGACTAAATTGATAAAAAACACATACTTTAAAGACCAAAAATTGTATTAAGCCTAATAAAAAAGATAAGTTCATTTAAAATGTCAAAATCCTCAACAGTTTCAATCACTGGTGATTTATATTTTTATGTTTTAGATTTATCTTTTCATATATCTAAATTGAATTGAATTTTTTTGTTTTTTTTAAAAAAACACGACACCAATTTTAATCTCCGTTGCATAACATTAACAATGCCTCACGACTGTTACACCGTTCCTATTACTTGTATAGATTCAAAGCAGTATGTTTATTTAGAGCCGTGCTTCAATGTCCAAAACCGTATGGCCAAGCATGAACAGTCATGGTTACTAAAAATCCATTATTTTCACAGTACTGTTTTCTGTAATAAGAAATTGATGTCATTGCAGACAAGCCACTGGAGAATTGCAGTAAACCTAAAATTAAGAAGACAATATGTCAATTATAACTCAAACGAAGTTTCTATCAGCATTAGGCACTGAAGTCGGATAATTTTGTTCCAACAAATAATTTTTGGTGCCATATCCCACTTTTCATCCAATAAAAATATGATGTAAAGGTTTTTATTTTATTTTTTTAATTATTAATTATAAATCATTTTAATTAAAATTAAAGGTCATAATCAAATTCGGTACATTACCCATAACAATGTCCTAGTTATATCCTTTTGTAGAGTTATTTACCGAAGTACAGTTCTATTACAACAAATATAACCAAATATGATATTTTAAAACTTATTTATCAATCTATGATACTTTTTTATGAGCAGATTTAATAACTCTGTTTTTGTTAAAGGACGAAGTCAACTACCTTAAACTGTGTTGAAAGTTTTGCTTTCTTAAAATTAAAGATTTAACCCCCTCCCCCCAACCTCCTCCCAAAAAAAAAAAAAAGTAGTGTCCAAATCATGATCTTTTGTGTGTTAACATGCTTTTAAAAAAAAACGTAAAATCAACATGCTTTTTTTACCACTCACTTTTTTTTTTATTTTTTAAAATAGGGATATTGAATCCGTTTTTTTTAACAAAAGTAGAGTTATTAAATTCACTTTTAAAAGGATTACTAGTTTGATAAATAAACTCAAAAATATCTTATTTGATATATTTGTTTTAGAAGAGCTACACTCAAATAAAAAACTTTGCTTTCATACATGACCTTGGTGTGAATGTGCATCATGGTGCCAAGTCAAGGAGTTGAAGATTCCATTTTTCTTGAAGTATATTTTTGGGTCCTATCACTCGTTTCTTTAGAAAATGCAAATTGAGAAAAAAAAATAATGAAAGAATTGAAAGCTACATGTGATCATTTGTGATAATCAAAGTTCCTTCTTTACGACCAGTATGACATGACCATCAATAAGCACATGGTCATCACGTTAATCATGTGAAGAAATTTATTACATTCAATGTACTTCGAATAAAGTATTTATATAAACAATGTGACCTCCCTTATTTGTAGATCGAAGCATCTTGTGTCCTTCAATGCAAAGAAAAGCATTTTCTTTTTTTATAACTCTAGTACCACGTTTAAAATATGAACAAATTATACATTCAAACGTTTTAAATTTGAATTCTGATAATCTTTGAGGTCAGATTATCTGATATTATTCATCTAGTCTCGGCGTGGATAATTTGTCTTTAACCATGCAAACCAAATAAGAAATTAGTAAAAATACACATGAATTGATTCAAACACTACAGATCATAAAATAAAATAAAAAAAAAAAACTATAATTAATATATTTGTATGTGTGTTCAATTCAAACCACCAATACCCTCAATTTTGCTACACATGGTTGAAAAACTTGTCAGCATCATGTACGTCACTTTCTCACTTGCTTTAAATTAGATTAAAAAACCATGTACCCGACTCTTTAACTGCAACACGACGTTGGTTACTTAATTGTATACATCAGCATCAAATACGTCACTTAGTTAAACCATGTGCTATCATTCCCAGTATCTAACGCCAAAATTGTCAGAAGAAAGGGGATCCTTTCCTTCTGTATTCGAGGAAGACTAGCGATTTTTCAATATCTGAGTTATAATTTTTTGCCATAATCCATCTGAAAATATTATGATGATCATAAAAATTAGAACTTCAAACATAAAATTACAAACAATTACATTTTTCAGTGGCAAATTTAAGGCGCGGTTAAAAGTATCACCACTAAAATTATTTTTAGTGACAAAAAATAATTATTATCACTATAAGTATTATAATAAACTTCAGTAATGACAATTAATTGTCACAATAAAAAAGTCAACAATTTCTTGGTGTAAAAAAGATTTAGTGGTGACAATTATTTGTTACCACTAATGATTACCAGGAACAAATATTTAGTGACAAAAATAAAATAGTTTCCACTTAAACTTTTAGAGTATTAGTTTTAAATTAATTGGTTTTTTTATATGGTTTTTTCATCAGTAACTATGATATCAGTGGTACTTTGGTTCTTCTGTTCCAAAGTATTCTTTTGCCCAAAAAAATTTAGGTTTGTACTTAAAGCCTAATGAGTTATAGGAGGTGTGCCAACTTCCATAAAACTTAAAAAAAAAAGGGGTCTGTGGACAAGGCTTGTGGCAGCAGAATGTCCTAAGGTTGGGGCCTCGGCCCGAAGAATGTGACCCAACAATTGGTTCTGGTCAAGATTTTTATGGCAAGCCCACCGGTATTCACCACCACCACCATGAACAACAATAATCGCCCACCTCATTCGGCTCGCTGCTCAACCTAAAGGATAAATACAAGGTAGAAAGGATGGGTCTCCACTTGTTGAACCTTTAACCATACTTTGAAGAGAACTGTTTATTTCAATCGTTTCATGTCGTATCATATTTAAGTGATCTAGGGTTTACCTCATTTGTGGTTTGTTTCACGCATTTTTGTGGTTTTATTCCTACAACCCTTCTCTATCGACCAAACATAATGCATATTAATGACTATAAATTATGTTCAACGAAAATCAAATTAAAGACAGATTTAAATTTATAACAATTAGCACAAAACACGATCAATGAAACAAAAAAATATATATTAAAGAAAAAACAATCTCTTTCTTCTTGCAAAATCAGTTAAACAGATTTGTCATGTCAAAATATATTTGTTCTTATTTGAAACAAATTTAAATTATTTAT